ATTTTCTGGATTTTTTTCTTCTCAATTTGTCTGTCATAGTTGACGTGTACCTATGATGAAAATTACAGGCCTCTCTCATCTTTTTAAGTGGGAGAACTTGCACAATTGGTGGCTGACTAAATACTTTTTTCCCCACTGTACATATTCCATGTATTTCATAATTTCCTTAAAAAATACATTCAACTTATTTTAACTTGCTTTGAATGTGTAGCACCCTCTAATTTGAATAGAATTCAATCAGATTAAAATGATTAACGTCCAGGCAGCGTCAGTTCATTGATACCGGTATGTACAACGTCAATCATGATGGGACCAAATTAATTGTTTATTATTCCAAAAGTAAATATTTAATTAATGCTCTTTCCAGAGAGGAGCATGTGTATTTATAGTAGGACAGTGAGTGGGCTATCTGGAAATACTGTGCATTCACTCACAGTGACGCATACTGCATCCACAAACCTTTGTTCAACCATCGACCCTCCTCTGTGACCTTCACCACAATTGGTACATGTCGGCTCACACTGTACAACAAACTGCCAATTCCACTGTCTATGACAGAACCTTCTGCCTTAACCTTCCACCTAAACGGACAGCCATATACATCACAAAGACAAATAATGACCAAATCTCTCATGAAAGGCCTTTTTCTTCTTCCCTTCTATGGGTAAATTGAGGCCATGCACTTCTAACCTTCTACCTTTGATAAACATCCCCTGACAACACTGATGGTAAATGGAAGGGGAAATAATTGAATCAGGATGGAGAGAGACATGGGGCAAACGAAGACAGGCGATCAGAGGAGGTTGAGTCCTAAATGACATCTTCACAGAAATATATCACCTGGCCTCCTTATCAACACCACCAAGTAATCGCTTGTTCAAGACCCCCACACCAAATCCCCTTTACAAATCAGAAAGAGAGAGCATACAGGTTTGTAATGCACAGCAAAGGGACAAGGTGAGGCCAGGCCAGGGAGCCACAGTGGTTGGATCAATACTTAATTTAGCCACCCAGGTTTAGTCTCTCAGTCCTTTATCACATTCATCATCAGCTGTATCAAACAAAAGAAACAGCTTTCTGGAAAAAAAACTACCAAACAAGGACTTTCATTTTCTCAGGAGGTCACACACAGGGATTAAAGATGCTGAGGTGTCCGTGCAAGCTCTCTCTCTCACACACACATACACACACACCGCAAAGGTGGTTAGAAGAAAGGTCATTCGTAACCAGAGGCATCATGTCCATAGGGGCACAGGGGCACATTCCCCCTCATATTAGCCCTGTTTTAAAAAATTATGATATGTTTACATTCTTTCACTGTAATACTACTAGCCCCCTAGCAAATTTTATGAAGTTGGCTTTAGCTAGCCCAGATAGGTTCCCAATCTCCCAACCTTATAACTAGCTACCAAGAAGCCATTTCAGGCTATCAAGTTAGAGTAGCTAGCCTGTCTAACTATCTTAGCTGGCATGCCTGCTGGCAAGGTTGGCAAGTAACAACTATACAGTGAGGGAAAAAAGTATTTGATCCCCTGCTGATTTTGTACATTTGCCCACTGACAAATAAATGATCAGTCTATCATTTTAACGGTAGGTTTATTTGAACAGTGTGCCCCCTCAGATTTTTGGGGCTCATGAAGTCCCTGTTCGTAGACAATTTCTACTAGTACAAGCATGCAAGAATTGTGAGAGTCCCTAGCAAGAGTAAATGTGTACCATTTCAGTGAAAAGTAATGGGACAAGGAATACTGTTTTATGGACAATGATTTGGTGGGGGGAATGTGTCAGCATTCCTTGATGTCTATTTTAAATCAAAAGCCCCATTCACTCAGACTTTGTTTTACTGGATAGAAACAAAGCTGACATGGGAAACAAGGCTGGCGCCCCCTTAGAAAGTATATGTCTTTGAACAAATATAAAATGACACATAGTGTGCCACAGGGTGATTACTAATTTCACGTGCTAAATTGGTAACAGGATATATATACTGTTTATATTGGTGAGGTTCCTTGATCAGGTAAGTAAATATATAGTCATGGTTTGAAATGACAAACTCTGCTCAGGCAAAGTCTCTAGAGACCCATGACATTGGAGTCAATTGTTTAATTTGGTGTATTGTCTTGTCTTTTCACAACAATGCCATTTCTCTGAGTGATGCTAGCTTGTCTTTTCCTGCATCCTCCTCTGAAGGTGGGGTTGTATATGATGCTACTGTATTGGACTGTCCTCTTTAATTATTGAACAAGTCAAAATTGACAAACACGTTTTTGACTTAGGGGTCAAAGGTGATTGTGAGGTCACAAAGGCCAAAGAAAAAGCATGGCTGCCTCCCTCCTAAGATGTGACATCATTCCCAAAGTAGGAGTAATTGCCGCAAAGAAACTAGAATGTCTGACCATTTGTCAATAGTAAACCAATATCCACAGGCTGTTTTTAGCAAAGTGACACAGCTAGAAACACGAGTACATAAACTGCCATCTATTTGATCCTTGGGATTTTCACAACTGAAGTGGGGTGGACAATGGAGGAGTGCACATGTGGCTGGCAGAGAAATGGGCAGTTTGTTGGTGCGTGCTTGTGTGTGTGGTGGGGGTGGGTGGGGGGGTATTTGTATCTCCTTCCATTGATTATCTCAGCTGCTGAATCAGTCAATACGGCTCCAGAGGGTGGGCTCAACCCAAGCTGCTGCATTCACTGGGACCTGCCAGGGCTTTCCTTAACCCACAGACCACTGCTGCTTGAAAGAGCCACACTGCAATCTGTGAGCAGCAAGCCTATTGATTTCTCTACCTAGCATTATGGATATGTTCACTTAATTATTATTTTTGAGGTCGACTGAGGGTCATCTATTCCCATACAGGAGACTGTACTGTCACTGATGTAGATAGCTTAGAATAAATATAACGTGGAGTAGAATTGTAAGCAACATGGTCTCAAGGCTAAGAGTGGCTTTTCTGCTTCTGTTTAATAGCAGGTTTTGTTCCTTTATTTTCTAGATTACTATACTGTCCATTTTCAGGAGCATTTTCCGCCATCAACAGATTCAACTGAGCCATGCAACCCCTCAGCGAAACCACAAATTAGTCAAAAGAGCATTGACGGTGGCATACCATCACTTGACATGGACAGACGGCGTGAAATACTCACCAGTGTGGTTGCCATGGAACTGAAGCCCTTCAGCCTATCCTCACACACTAAGATAACAGTTACAGAGGGAGAAATGGAGAGACATGATATGAGGGCTTAGAGAAATACCCATCCTTATGCACACTGCATGATTCACACAAACTCACAATGTCACACACAAACCGTCACACATACACCTACATCGAAAAGCAGCAGATATTGTTATCTATGAAGTGGTGAAGTGTGAATCGAAAGTACGGTCAAACGGAAATACATTTAAAAACTTGTAAGAACAAGGGAAGGTAACTTTTTCCTCTACAATAAGTTACAACTAAATGAAATTATCCTAACTATGAGGTAATTGCATGTCAAAGGTAGTCTATGGCTATGTGAGCCCAATTGTAGGCTATCCAAAAATATAAATGGTTAAAAAATAGCTTGCTTTTAATCCTATTTACAATTGTACTAACAGTGGTCCTGGTGCAGTCCCCTCCTTGGCTCTGCGCTTCTGTAGCCTACTGTGTGCTCTCTGACCCCGGTGGCAGTCCTTTCGCAGACTCGCACCCCCCTTCTCTTCTCACATCGAGGCTCCTATCTCGCTCGTTGCCTTTCTGTCGCATTTCCTCAAGAGCCAACCGAGGGTCTCCCAGGGTCGAAGGTTCTGCCCTGCTAGCCACGACCTCCACCTCTCAAGACCTCTAAATTGTCTGCGTTATCTATGGGACCGCTTTTTTGACAACATAGAGAGAGAGCTAACCCTGAACACGTATCGGCCGGAGGAACGGAACTCGCCACCCGTTTGGCAAGAAAATCGCTGGGAAAAAATAACGAGGCACAAAGCGGTGGGTTAGAGGTGGTTTGTCATTTACGAGGCATTCGGATACAGAGGTTTCTGCAGAGGCTGTAAATGTTGCTATTCGTAATATTGTAGATGCGAGAGCTTGGTTTATGTTCGTATTTTGTTCTGTAATGCAGGATAGGCCTACTATAAATGAGGAAAAACACGATCTTGTAGTATCGGGTGTAAGAGGTTCAATTTGGTCTCTTCTGTCTCTTTAGGCTGATTGGTAGAAATTGTGTGTATATATTTAAAAATCCCCTCTTCCAAATGTTGCAGTGTGAAGCCAAAATATGTTTTTATGTAAATGATCCTCTTATAGTTCAGTTTGTAGATAATCAGCTTGTTACAGTTGACTTGTAGTAAATGTGTGTCTACACTCTGTACCTCTGCTAACCTGCTAATGTTAAATTCGTCTGGGTAGTTTTATGTTTTCATTTTCACTTTCCATTGTCTTGAACGAAAGTGGTGTGGTCAAACTTCACTATTATGTCATCTGGCCAATACAGCATCTACACATCGTTTGGTTACATTGTATCAATTCACTCAGTACTATTACATTTGTAAAAATAAAATAAAAATAGGCCTGGGTTATTTCAAGCCTTTTGATTGGAACACAATACATACAGCAGTTGTTTGATATGATATATTTTTTACAAACGTTACAGCATTGTTAAAGGTTTAATGTCCAAGCTTATTTTGTATCCTATCTACTGGATGTCAAATCTATTAGCACTTAATAAGACATTAGCAAGAAATATGGAAGTATATGGCCTCTTCTGATATTAGTGGTTGAATAATTGGTAAAATTCTGGACGTATTCTTGATGTTGTTTTTGAACAACACAAGTGGTTCACTTAAAGCTGTCATTTACAGCAACATATTATTTTTAATCATTCTGCTGCACAATTACTGTATTTTGACGTGTGCTCCTCTCTTTTTGTTTGCGGTGGTACAGATTGTGGCCAGTTGTCCAGAGGGCCGGTGGGTCAGAGTTAGTGAACGGGGCTGTTCTGAATGATGCCTGCTCCCTAAAATGGTTCTGGATCCTGGTAAACTAACTGCCCATGTCCCAAGCAGCAGAGCCATGGCTCACAGAACCCCCCCCTCTCAGGGCAAGGTGACCATCACTGTTGACGAGTATAGCTCCAACCCCACACAGGCCTTCACCCACTACAACATCAACCAGAGCCGCTTCCAACCACCCCATGTCCACATGTGAGTATCTATCTATCCACAGACCTGCACTGTATCTATATCCCGTTCATCTGAAGGACCATTACAGTGCACAGAGGATTGATTGATTGATGAATGGGTTCAAACAAAATGGTAAATATATGGACATCTGGCCTCATAACATCCACCACCATACCTTCTGTGTGCTCTATTCTCACCACACAATAGCTTGTCTTGAATAGATGGTGTATGACTTAAACATGTTTGGTTATCCTCAGTGCCCCGTCAAATAACCAACAGTGTGTGAGGTTAAAGTGTGTGAAGCAGAGGCCACCTTTCATGTTATGAACTTAACGGAGGTCAGAGGTGAGGTGGGTTTATAAGCTATTTAACAATGCTCCTTTGACCTCCGGGTCACAGCTCAATTCTAAGTAACTTCCCTATTGACTTCTAATCATTAGGATGTAATGAGTGTTGCTGTGGATGGGATGGGTGGGCCTTGGGTGGTCAGAGGGGGAGGCAGGTGGCTGACTGACTGACACACAAAACTAGCTTTTCCAGCAGAGACAAAACAAAGGTGTAAGGCAGATGTCGTCTTTATAGAAGTCAGGATTTCTGTTAACCAGTGTTTTTCACATAGTCCACGATTAACCGTTTTTTAAATAGTGGTCTTTAAATCACATCTGCGCTCTCTTTGTCTGTTTGTCTTAGACCATGGACAGATGTCTCAGTAGAACAGCAAGGTGGACCTTGTTGTATCAGTTTAATTGTTTATTGAAGCTATCTGCCACTGCTATAGTAATCAAATTGGATGGAGAATTTTAGAACAGGACAGTGTAGAGTGTAATTAACAGAAGAAACCGAAGTCAACAGTGATAGAGATATAGGTACGGTAATTCATTAATATCTGATGGACACATGGCAGGAGTAGGGAATAATGAATAACCTCCTGGATTTTGTGATGATTTGCATTAAATCACCTTAGGCGACTCACTCAAACTGGCAGCCTAATCTATAATTTGCCAGCATGATTCCATGCATCGCAGCTGGGCAGCTGGCCTGCCCTGGCAGCCAAAAATCCCACGTGAGCTCACAATCACAGCCTGGCTCCCTCAGTCTGGCAACTCCTCCAAGGGCTCCCAACGATGAGGCAACTGTGAGACTGTATGAGGGACCTGCACTAGCTTAAAGGTTGGATGGCCAATTCCAGTTTGGTCTTCCATAGACATCTTTAGAGAAGGCTGTTTTGTTTGTTATATTATGTTCTATTGGAGGTTGCTACACGTGACTCATTGACAACCTAGGTTACATTTTCAAATGGAGGGCTGCTTTAATAATTTGACACAAACTCATACTTTGATTCTGCTGTCCGTCTTCGATGACAGGGTGGAACCCATTCCCTATGACGCCCCTAAACCCTCCGGTCACACACGTTTCGTCTGCATGTCGGACACACACTCCAGGACCGATGGGATCCAGATGCCATACGGGGATGTCCTGCTCCATACTGGGGACTTCACTGAACTTGGCCTACCCTCTGAGGTCAAGAAATTCAACGACTGGCTAGGTAAAGAGAATAACACACACTGCCGTTTTTTGCTCTCAACCCTCAGCATCAGGGCCGTTCTACCGCCCTAGGCCAGACCAAAAATCATGTTGAAAAGACGTGTAAAATACATATTTTCCAGACGTTATATTTAAGTTCTGAATGAAAGGTTAAAAGATGTATTTTCCGTACGTTTAAAATACATATTTTCCAGGACGTTGAAAGGGGTCTTTTCCGGACATTGAAAAATACGTATTTTCCGGATGTTGAAATCCGGTTCATTTTCGGTTCTGAATTAAAGTTGAAAATATGTAATTTATAGATGTCTATGTTTGGGCCAAATCAAGGCTGGTCCAGACCGGACAAAATCTGAACCAAACATAGACGTCTATGATTGGTTCAGATTTGGTCCGGACCAAAAATCAATGTCCATGGACGTTGAAATTAAGACGGGTATAGACCGCACCAAATCTGAACCAAAAAAAGACGTCCAAATAGCATCAGTGTCAGTCCGTGCTTACTGAGGTGTAGCCTACAGTGTTGCCTGAAATTTAATTGTATGAATGCCCATCTATGTGTTAAGCCTACCGTTTGTATAACACCCTAAAAAAGATGTCCGGACAGGACCAAAAAAAGACATCCAAAAGACGTTGGCTCGTGCTTACTGGGGTGTACCCTACCATGTCAGCTGCAATGGTAGGCCCACCAGGCTGTTGCATTGGCTTTATTAGTCCTGGTTCCTGTGACTAATCAATTTGACTACTTAAGCTCTGAATATCAGCTACCCAACTTTATCAGGAGTTATTGTGAGCCTGTTTGCGATATGTTTACATAGCGGCAAATGCAGAAGTATTTTCATTATCTTTATGATCAGCTTGTCAAAAAATTTACGGATACAAACTTGAAGTCACTGATCATGACAATGGGGTGAAACTCCTGGACAACAGTTGTGATTGTCCATTCCATATTATCCATTTGACTTTGACCTGTCCTGTTTTTAGGATATGTTGTTTGTTAACATGACAGCACATTATTTATTTGATTGGGCGCCATTTAGATTAGGCTATTTGATTGGAGAAACCTGCATGATGTAAAAAGTGTCTGTTTCATTACATTGTCATACATTTTATCTCCAGCCTGTAGGCTACAGAATAGTTCACATACTCTTTCTACCATATCCTATATCTATGCATAGTCACTTTACCCCAACCTACATGTACAAACTACCTCGACTAACCTGTACCCCTGCACAATGACTCGGTACCCCATGTATATAGCCTCGTTATTGTTCAGTAATTTTTTACTTTAGTCTATTTAGTAAATATTTTCAAACTCTATTTCTTGAACTGCATTGTTGGTTAAGGGCTTGTAAGTAAGCATTTCACGGTAAGGTCTACACTTGTTGTATTCGGCGCATGTGACACATTTGATTTTATATCTGCTACATGATTTATGTTAGATCATTTTTTTGACGGAATGTGGGGGAGCGCCGCAGCGATGCGTCTCTCCGACACCACCCTGGAGAGGCGTGTGAGAATGGACAAGCAAAATATTTTGCGCCCCTGCCTTTGACAAAGTAGGCACTGTTTATCACAGGGCTGCATCAGTGCTCACCTTAAAATCCCATTTTGCCACTGGTTGAGATACATTGTCATTGTTTTTGGGCAGAATGATGTGAGGTTTTATGTGTTGTTGTTGGCAGTCTTGGTCAGTTTAGCTCAGAAAATGTCTCTCGCCAATCTGCCGCCAGAGGCCTAATCCTGCCTAATGAGCGTGCCGGCCGTGCTCAGCATACTGTACAGTAACCTCTATCTTGGCTAAAAAGCTTTTTTGCTGTAAGTTACTATACCAACAGTGTTTGGTGTAATTTGGACTTCCTTATTTAAGCAAAAACTATTCTCCTCATAAAAATGTCTGCTTTGACATTATTTAATATTTACTACTGTTAATTAATCATTTGAGATTAAGAACCCACGGAAAGGAAGAAGTAACTTTTCTTGAAGGCCACACATTAAAACACTGCCATCCTCCTTAGTTTCAAATAGATTTTAGCCTACAGCCGAGAGAAAATGGAGTTGAGCTTTCAATTTGAGCCCTATACAGAACTGCTGCGGTAATAGAAGAGGTAACCAGGACAAAGGACCTCTCTCTCCAAGAAAGTAAAAAGGTCAAATGAAAAATTGAAAAATTCCCCTTTGTTGACTGAGATGTGCGTTGGCAGGGTAACTAAGGTCTTCATCTGCAGTTATTGCTCTTTTGTAAGAGGGGAGAACAGTTCACAGTGGTCTGAGGAGGTCAAGAAGCCTTCATCTTTTCATTTGTGGCGCTTTACTTTCATGGACCATTCCCTTAACCTCTCAAAGACAACTTTCTATTCCAGTGAATGAATATTGATTCACCAACTGGGGTAGTGGTATCCCCAGAAACCCTGCTACTGGCCAAAGCTATGTAGTGTTAATATTGTCTACATGTTACTTGCCTTACGTTGAACAACAGTAACAGAAAGCTATCTATCCCATCCATATTCAACATTTCTTCCCTGCTGTCTCTCCTGCAGGGAGTCTACCTTATGAATTCAAGGTGGTGATTGCAGGAAACCATGAACTGACGTTTGACAAGGACTTCATGGCTGAGTTGGTCAAGCAGGATTACTATCGCTTTCCCTCCGTCTCCAAGCTGAGAACTGAGGACTTTGATGATGTTCAGGCCCTCCTCTCAAACTGTACTTACCTGCAGGACTCTGAGGTCACAGTCAAGGGATTCCGCATATACGGGGCACCATGGTAAGTTGCTCTCTTGTCTTGGGATAAGTATCATGACTTATTTACATGGAGTCGATAGTGTTACGCTTCAGTGACTATAGAGGCTAATCGCTGAGTGATAGACCTTTGCATAATATGGCCTCAGTGACACTGTACCTGAGTTTGCCAGGGTTGCTCACATATGCTTTACGTACAGTAGATGTCATGACACTATTTGTGTGGCCACTCTCTTTGCTTTCTTATTAAGTCCCTGAATGAGTCTAGTTGAGTTTTTGTTAGTAGTGTGTCTCTATGGTGGATATGAAACAGTACAGACCTAGCCCATACTATTCACTGCTTCTAACTTCTAAATTCCTTATTGCTCTCTTCCATTTCCATTCCTCATTGAGGGCATTGCCTTGTGTTGTCCTGAATCCTGACAGGGACTCCATGTCTTTGATTAGACACACAGTGCCTGAGAGAGAGACGTCTGTGGTTAGTTGGGTGTGGGTCAGTCCCAGCCATGTCCTCTCCTCCTGTGCTAGACTTGGGACATGTCCTGGCACGCTACAGGCTGCCGTGGAGACAGACATGTACTTACAGTGTACTCGGCTCCAGACTGTTATGTCATCACACACCCATATCGTCAGCCAGCCACACCGCTGTGTATGAGGCCCTGTTAACCCTTCACCCACTGCTTCTCTAGTTTCCCTCCGTACTACTGTGTCAGTGAGGGGACGACTGCTGAATGACTGATCTCTGATTGGATTAGGAAGTCAGACTGAGGTGTTTCCTAGAGATTGTCAAGAGAAGAGCGTTTCGCTGTAGGCCTATCGCATGATGCTTTGATAAGTTTTAGAATGCTGTGTCTGCTACATAGTTTCTATATTTATTCTTGTGAGACACTTTTTCAAAAGGGGATATTGACCTTTTAAGAGGGTATGTATAGAGCTAACCGAATGTAATCTCCATCCCTAGTATTGCTTTAGTATTCTCCCCAGTAGGATGGACAGGGACTGGCAGGCTGGCTAGCTGTACCGAGGCCCTGACTAGAGATAGTCGAGGCCAGAGCAGTGGAATCAGGCCATGGTGTGTCAGTCTGACTGACCCCCGTCTGGCCTCCACAACTCCCTGCTGGCTGACACACACACACACACACACACACCAACCTCCTTTCACAGGCCCTCTCTCCTCCAATCCCAGATCTAATAATGTTCTGTGAACCACACTGTGAACCACACTGTGAACCACACCCATCTGCCCGTGTTGTTCTTCATCAGTCGCTGGACGTGTGGTCTGGGAGAGAGAGAGGGGTCAGGGGGCTTTTGTCTCCTCAAGTCCCAGCTGAATAGGTATGACTACCCTGACAATGACAGTCTGACCGGGTGTAACGTTATGATGATGATGACAGTGAGATCATTGGTATTTTAGGTCTTCATACCTTAACCTGGCTCAGTCACTATTATATTATATTTGCGTCCTGAGCCCAACTCATTCTCAGGGGTTAACCCTCCCGTCTTGAGGAGGGAACTATTCTACCATGATTTAATCATATATTTGCCACTTCAAAGACGCTGGATCTCCTGGTGATAATGGAATGTTTCTCACATTGCAGGCAGAGAGGGAAGCGCAACAATGAGGGCAGAAACATGGCGTTTCAGTCACAGAGTAGTGCTGAATCAAGTGATTATCTTGGCAGGGGAGAGAACCAACCACCAAGATGCATGATGGGAGGTCTGAGGAGGTGTGTGGTAGAGCTCTGGGGTCATCGTTACCGGGGCGATTTTCCAGATCTCTGAGCCTCTCCTGCAGGAAGTGGCCTTTGTTCTGACACATCCTGGTTCTTTTGTTGGAGCGTATGGATCAAACCCTGGGCCTGACCCCCGCGCCCCCTTTAGGGACAGCACTCCCAGCAGGCCACGGTAACCCTTGTCACCTCAGAGTCTAGTGATCAGAGGTCATTTCTACCGCCCACAAAGAGATCAGCCAGGCTTGACACACACTGCAGGCCTGGTCTGAGTCAAGACTGACTGACACCGTCTGAATGAATCGTTTTTGGGGGGTGATTGTCAAAGCCAGAAGTTCAAGACCTTGGCTTCTAGATACTTCTGATAGCATTGCAACAGACTTTAGCCAGATAGCATGTCTGTCTGCAGAATTAAGCCTAAAATTTACATGTAATGTTCCGTATCTCCTAGTAGAATTGAATAGCTAATACCTCATCCTTTCATGGCAGATATACAGTACCATGAGCACACCTAGTAGCCATCTCAAATCAAATGTTATGTCACATGCTTCGTAAACAACAAGTGTAGACTAACAGTGAAATGCTTTCTTGCGGGCCCTTGCCAACAATGGAGAGAAATTTAAATTAAATAAAAACACGAGGAATAAATACACAGTGAGTAACGATAACTTGGCTATATACACAGGGTACCAGTACCAAGTCGATGTGCAGGGGTACGAGGTAATTGAGGTAGAATGGGTGTAGTTTCCACGACTAGCTCCTTTGTCTTGCTGACGTTGACGGAGAGGTTGTTGTCCTGGCACCATACTGCCAGGTCTCTGACCTCCTCCCTATAGGCTGCCTCGTCGTCTGTGATCAGTCCTACCACCGTTGTGTCATCAGCGAACTTGATGATGGTGTTGGTCGTGGGTGAACAGGGAGTACAGGAGGGGACTAAGCACGCACCCCTAAGGGACCCCCTGTGTTGAGGGTCAGCATGGCGGATGTGTTGTTGCCTACCCTCGGCCCATCAGCATGTCCAGGATCCAGTTGCAGAGGGAGGGGTTCAGTCACAGGGTCCTGAGCTTAGTGATGAGCTTGGAGGGCACTATGGTGTTGAACGCTGAGCTGTAGTCAATGAACAGCATTCTCACATAAGTGTTCCATCTATGTGTGTGTCAGTGTGACAGAGGTTAGCTCAGGGCAGGGGGAGGAGTTATACTATAGACAGCATGGTTAGCTCAGAGCAGGGGGAGGTGTTATACTATAGACAACATGGTTAGCTCAGAGAAGGGGGAGGTGTTATACTATAGACAGCATGGTTAGCTCAGAGCTGGGGGAGGTGTTATACTATAGACAGCATGGTTAGCTCAGAGCAGGGGGAGGTGTTATACTATAGACAGCATGGTTAGCTCAGAGCAGGGGGAGGTGTTATACTATAGACAGCATGGTTAGCTCAGAGCAGGGGGAGGTGTTATACTATAGGCAGCATGGTTAGCTCAGAGCAGGGGGAGGTGTTATACTATAGACAGCATGGTTAGCTCAGAGCAGGGGGAGGTGTTATACTATAGACAGCATGGTTAGCTCAGAGCAGGGGAAGGTGTTATACTATAGACAGCATGGTTAGCTCAGAGCAGGGGGAGGTGTTATACTATAGACAGCATGGTTAGCTCAGAGCAGGGGAAGGTGTTATACTATAGACAGCATGGTTAGCTCAGAGCAGGGGAAGGTGTTATACTATAGACAGCATGGTTAGCTCAGAGCAGGGGGAGGTGTTATACTATAGACAGCATGGTTAGCTCAGAGCAGGGGAAGGTGTTATACTATAGACAGCATGGTGGCAGTCTGAGTCTGGTTTTAGAAAATCAAAGAGTTCCTCTAATCCTCTTATGGTGGCGGACAAACACTGGTCATGTGACCTTTTGGGTTTACATTGGATGAGAACCCGCCAGGCAGACCCACAAAGAAAGTGTGACTCTCTGTTGCCATGGAAACCATAGCACAGTCGTCTCTGTGTGTGTGTGTGTGTGTGTGTGTGTGTGTGTGTGTGTGTGTGTGTGTGTGTGTGTGTCAGTGAGGACAGCATAGCTCTGATCCTGCATTTCCACCAGTCTCTCTCATGGACACCCATGCTGGGCTGATAATGTACTTTATTGACTGGTAGACTGGCCATGGTCTCACTGTCATGTGCGGCTTTGATTTTCTGTCTGTCTGTTTGTGTAGCAGATAGATGGGAATGGAAAGCTGCCTGACTAATCGCCAACAATGTGAGAGCTTAGCCTCAAATAAACCGCCTGTTTATGGAAATAAATAAGGCCATTTCTGACTCTGAAATGAGGTTCTAACTCCCTAGGTAAGGGCTCCAGTTTCAGCATTACTTGGTGGAAATTCCTACTATCGCTCAATGTGTGAAAACCCTCCGTCTCGTCACAACAACTTGGGACTGATCTCAAGTCAGAGGTAGAATCCCAAATCACTCCCTGCCACTCGGCCCTCCATTTGCACGTTTACGCGCACTTCGACCATATGCACTAGTGTCCCAAAGCTGAGGGTAGGGGCTAATTAGACCCTTGAATAGCCGCTTCAGAGCGAAGTGCTTTCCCGACACGCACCGCGATATGTTTGGAGTTTGCGCAAATTGATACAAAGGAATGGAGAGGCGTGCCTAATTATAAACTCAGCAAAAAAAGAAACGTCCCTTTTTCAGGACCCTGTCTTTCAAAGATAATTCGTACAAATCCAAATAACTTCACAGATCTTCATTGTAAAGGGTTTAAACACTGTTTCCCATGCTTGTTCAATGAACCATAAACAATTAATGAACATGCACCTGTGGAACGGTCGTTAAGACACTAACAGCTTACAGACGGTAGGCAATTAAGGTCACAGTTATGAAAACTTAGGACACTAAAGAGGCCTTTCTACTGACTGAAAAACACCAAAAGAAAGATGCCCAGGGTCCCTGCTCATCTGCGTGAACGTGCCATAGACATGCTGCAAGGAGGCATTAGGACTGCAGATGTGGCCAGGGCAATAAATTGCAATGTCCGTACTAAGACAGCACTACAGGGAGACAGGACAGACAGCTGATCGTCCTCGCAGTGGCAGACCACGTGTAACAACACCTGCACAGGATCGGTACATCCGAACATCACACCTGAGGGACAGGTACAGGATGGCAACAACAACTGCCCGAGTTACACCAGGAACGCACAATCCCTCCATCAGTGCTCAGACTGTCCGCAATAAACTGAGAGAGGCTGGACTGAGGGCTTTTTAGGCCTGTTGTAAGGCAGGTCCTCACCAGACATCACCGGCAA